TTCTAAATTACTTTTCTAATTTAAAAGAAAAAAATTGTTCACGTTATACCATTTAATAATTTACGATTCCTGAAATTCTATCTGCTTTTATTTTGTAACTATTGCTATTAATATTGAAGGTTTAAAAATATATTTAAATTTATTTAAAGAGTGCCTGTATAGGAGATCGGCATGTGTTTAAATTTTTGAGTAATATAAATGGGAACCGCCTCTTGTAAAAATTTCAAAAATTGTAAGAAACTGCCAAAACATTTTAATTATTTTTACTACATTTTTGTTAAAATCCTGTCTTAAATTCGATGTAAGAAAGACTTGCAAGTGTCGCTTTATATATACACTTTTTCTCATTATTCGAAATAGCACAGTTTTAAAAGCTATTTCATTTTCCTAAAATTTATTTTTGTCTCAATGTTTTATTAAATTATAAATACGTATACGGGTACTTACATGTTTACATAATTTTAATCAATTTATTCAAAAACTATTTCTATTTTGAAAATAAAATTAAAATGATTTATCGTATTCTCTTTCAGTTCTAAAAATTATAGTTCTAAATTACAATAACAACAACAATGATAAATTTTTATCATTTAATCGATTTGTTTGAATCATGTATATTGGGGTTATTCAATTTACCGTTCGTGTCAACTAAAATATTTTATTATATAAATATTTTCTGAGCAATTTGTCACATTTACAATAATATTTTTGATTTTGAATATATTAGAATTTCATAAATGAAATCGTGAGCATGCACAATATTTGAGTGGATAAATATAGTAATTCATGTTTATATAAAAGAAGTTTTATTTTTAGACCAAAGGGTTTTAAATAGATTTTCAGTATGCAAATAGGGAATAATTGCGAAAAAGTGTATAAACCATTGTGTGTTCCTCTTAAATTTTTGAAAAAAATTGGTATTTGGAATTATTTTAGTTTTCATATATACGATTACGTATTCGTATATATATACAATTTACTTTGAAAACAAAAAAAAAACATTTACACGTGATTTAAACATTTACAAGTGATTTAAAATTTTTACAAGTTAAAATTGACTTTGAAGGGGCAAAGTATGGAAATTTAAATATTTATTAAAATAGTGTCATAAAAATTGAACAAATTATAATCATGACATTAACAATTTTTTATTTTGAACAGGTCACGAAGATTCGAGAAACAAATTATCGCACATTTGTTATAATCTGATAGATATTTTCATTCAAGAACCGTGTTTCTTAAACTTTCCAAAATGATTATGGATAATTGGAAGTGGGTCAGTCAAATATCTATAAATAAATTTAACCTTGTCCTAAATATAAACAACGAAGAAGCAAGTCAAAGAATATTAAAATTACAAAATATTTAAAACCACTTCATACTGCCAAATTGAATTTAAATATGAAGTAAGATTCAAATCTAGTGACAGTATTTATCAAAAATTATGTACAATACTTCCATATTTCTAGTTTTACGAAATTACTTGATTTCAAGACATACTTTAGATAAAGTTAAAACATTATATTTCAAAATAATACTGGCAACATACATGCATAAATTTAAATAGTAGTATTTAAAAAATATTTTTATTCTTTTTATTCATGTATGAATAATATGAATTTTATTCACCTTTATTTTAACTTCCCAAAAAATATCCTTTATATATATTTATTTTTTTTATTTTTTTATACGTCAGTATATTAACTTTAGTAACCTTCGGAATTCTTTTGTACTTCATATTGCAGATATACAATTATAAATATTTTAAATAAAAAGGAAAAATAGAACCTTATGTGTATATGTATATGTGTATAAATGAATATGTAGCAAGGACAATATAAGGAACTAAAAACATATAACATCAAAATGAATGCAATTTTTCAATATGTGTCTTTTTAAATATTTTTTATTACAATATTTTACATACACACTTTTAAATTTATATTATGTCTCCCAATAACATAAATGTCTCATATTGATAAATTGACAAAAGTTTTGAAATTTAGACAAGGACAAGAATATGCTAAAAACAGAAGAAGTTGGTTAGAACAACGATTCTAACCAGCATACAATCCTTGTAAATTAACAAATTTTTTTTCGATAATTTGATTAAAAAACTAATATTTTAATTTAGACTTCAGTATTTAAAGTTCAAAATTGCAGAGATTCTATTAAAATTATTCACATATAACGAAATTTTGTTGCATACATTTGGGAGACCAATTAGAAATGAGATATAAATTCAAAAACACATATTATACATATAATTAAGAAGAACCATTTAATTTAACCTATACTCAAGTTAATAATGCATATAATCTTAATTTTCTATGAGATCTTACTTTCTTGGAAGTTAAATTTGGAATCAAGTACTGGCCGAAAATTAAGATTTTGATAAATTTTAAAAGAAAGCGATAATTCTTAAACGAAAAGATATAGTTTTAATAAAATAAAACTTCAATGACATCTGCGACTTGTTAAAATTTTAAAAATTTTGAACTTGCCTTTTTATAGATGAAAAAGCGTTTCAAAATTATGTTCAAGGTCATTTGTTACCTTGACGGTGTATCTTTTATCTTTTTATTTCTGAAATTTTATCTCTATCAAATCTTTGCAAAGTAATGAGTTGATGGACACTGTAAAACTAATAAGTATATTTTTATCGACCGCATTGTATACAATGAGATAGATTATGTGATGGCACCAAATTTTGAATGTAGAGTTTTCGGTGGGAACCGCACTTTTCCATAGTAGGGAAGTACATAAACTACAAAGGAGAACTCTCAAGGAGAACCCATAAATTACTTTTGCTGACCACATCAGTTTTTTTTTTAATTTCTTGAATAAATATTAAAAAGAATAATTCTCAAATGAAAATATTTCTTTGTTTCTTCATAAATTACATAAAAAAAATATGATTACATATTATTAGAAAATATTATGTGGACCTACAAGCCACATAGTTACATACAAGCACTAAATAGAACAAAAAAATTTTCTACATTATGTGTGTACTTATATGTCAATCAATATGTAATTCAATATTGCAATATGTAATAAATATATAGCTGAGATTTTTAAATACATATAATATGCTTTTACAAAATATTGATGTTATGTGTATAAATGAGTGCACAAGTATACCGTACATTATGTATAGGTAAATATGAATATTGTGCAAATGTAACATAAATATATATACATTTGCACGTGTTCATATATATGTATATATACACATATATGTTTATGTTTTTTACTTTGATATATCATGTACAAGTGTGTCTATGTATTCATTTGGTTATTTAACAAATAATCATTTTGTATCTTTATTTAAGCATAATAATTATCTTATATCTTGTAATTTTATTTTTAATTATTATTATGTTTATGATATATGCAAAAAGTCATTATTTTGTTTACAGTTTATAAAATATAACAATTTTTCGATAATAGTTATATATTACAGTTATATTTATGTGCTTATATCTGAATATTATTACATCTTTTGTAAATAATTTTAGAGATATGTGTATTTGCATGCATGTATGTTGAAACTATTATGTGCAAAAAATAATTTATAAAATAGAGTGGAGATATAAAAAATGAATTATAAATACAAAATAAATTTGTGATTCTAATAATTTAACGCAGCTGGAGCAAATATTCAAGGATCTTTCCATAGTTTATCATATAAGCGTTATCTATATATAATATTGTACAAATGTATGTACTCGTATGTATTCATTGGTGTGTTATTTTTACAAGTTTATTGTTTAAAATTACATTTTATTAAAGATTTATTTATTTTCATTATAGTTTTATTTTGTTCATGCATTTTTGAATATAATATGATGTTATATAATATCATGTTTATGTTTGATTATATTGAATGGCACAAATATATAGATTATATTATGATATTGTTTTCTACTAATCTAACATATTTGAATTATTAAAGGAATAAATAAAATGAAGAATAGTATTTTATTGACACTTTCTTGTTGATACAAAGATGAAAATATTAGAATTTAATCGTACATTCTATTTGATATTACAATATTGACTTGTTTTCTTAAAGGTTTTTCTTCACTGGAAAATGAGTTCTTGTAAGTGAACTCATTTACATATTAAATTTTTATATTGTTCAAATTGGAAAGCTCTTATATACTAGTTTATAATATAAGAATGTTTTTAAAATTCATATTATTAATAACATTATTATGTAGAAATTAGGTTTTTAAAAAAACGATAAATATTTAATCAATTTTTTAATTAATAATTAATGAATTTGTTGTAAATTCTTGTTCATATTATCAAAATGTTATTATATTCAACTTTAGCGATTTTATTACAATAAAAGTATAAGCAAAGGAATGTGTAGGCACTGGTTTTGTTAATCTAATAAAATTTTAAATTTTAAAATTTCAAAATCAAAATATTTAATTTTATTAATATGTTTGAAAATTTGAGTAAAATTTGTCACAACTGCAATGTTTAAAATGTAATATAATCGATTTAAAATTTTTGCAAATAAAAAAAGCGTTTCATGAAACCTAATTATGAAAGTAGGTACAACATGGAAATTATAAAAAAACTTTAACTTTGTTAGTTTCAATTAAGATAACTTAAAATATTCAACATTTTTTATAACAAGATATTTTACGGTCAAATTTAATATAAAGTAGGCGCTTATTTTGAAAATATTACGTAATTAAACAAAAAATTTGTACCTAAAAATACAATTTTGCAAATTTATTTTTTCTTTAAAAAATAATTCTTTTCTTTTTATAAAAGAATCTTTTTGTTTTTCGTAAGGGAAAGAAAATTGGAAAAAATTAATAAGGAAGCCGATTTACTCTTAATTAATCTAATTTTTATTTTAAAATCACATACAAATAACTGCATGACTTATAGTTGTAACATTTGTGGTTGGTAGTTTTTAGAGATGAATAACGAATATTGCTAAATTTTTTTCTAACTTTAATAAAAATTTTACTTACGGTCTTCTCCAACACATGACATTCCAGGCGCAGATGGCACATTTGGAAATACTGAAAAAAATAAACGAAAAAAAAAAATTAGTTGAAAGTGCAATATATTTGTGTTTACGCATTGTATTTTTTGTTTTAATAATATTTCACTTAATTTTTATTTTTGATAGTTGTTATCTATACTTAAGAAAATTTCAAAAAAGAACTTAAATTTATTTACTTACTACAAAATAAGTAAAACGACAAACTGAAAAAAACTAATCTGGTTTTTGCAAAATGGCTAATAGCATTAATAAAAAACTAAATTTATGTGCCGACTAAGTTAGTAAAATTATTTGACTGCAATTATTTCAAATAACAACAAAATTTTTTTAATATAAATTTGAAATGAATGTAATCCTGGGCAAAGGAGTTTATTTTATACACATAACGTACATATATTATAAATTGCATATATGTATGTGTACAACGTTAACATGCATAAATAAGTTAACTTAAGCTTATAAATTTATAAATAAAGTAGGTACTCACATAAAAAACGTACAAAAGGAAACGAATATCACGTTCTATTTGAAAATTTAAATATACTCATATATTAACTTTATCTAGAATACCAAATTGAACTTTGAAATTTTAGTAAAATTTTATTTCAATTGGGAAACTTAAAATGCAATTTTTATTTTTATATTTTCTTCATAAAAGTTCAAATTTTCAATTTTTTTTCTTTAAATTTATTGGAAATATTTTTTTTTTTAGAAAATTTTAAAAATTTTTGAATAAATTTTTATTGATCTTTTCCATTTTTTTAATATTGTGACTTCAAATAGGACTATATAAAAAGAAAAAGGAAAAAATTTGATCTGCTTTGAACTTATTAAAACTTTATTCAAAGTTCTAAATTTCTGGAAATAAGAAAAACGATAAGAAAATTTTGAAACTCGTCCTGAAGTTTTTTTGCTTACTGGAACCAATATAAAAAACAATGTAAAATAAAAAATAATATCTTGCAAATCTTGTACGTGAACTTCATAAAAATATTTCCCTATTGCTTTGCAGACAACAACAAAATCTGATGTGGTCAGCACATAACCGACTGCAATGTCTATTGTCTAGATTGGTAAAAGTATTCCAGAAGATTATGAAAATGTGTTTTAAACACTTCTTTACACTTTTAAGGACGGTAATAAGCTTTTAGTTAACATACCTGAAAAATGTAAATTTGGCTCTTAGCAGAGTTCCATTTTCTGCCCTCCGAATTAGACGTAAAGTTCGTCTGTAATTTCTGGTAACAAACACACCTCAAATAATAAATTTCAAGAAATTCCATCAATTCGTTCCGTAGATATGGTAAAAAATGTAAAATTAGGCCCGTTAAAAGGTCCGGTTGCCGAGACCTGATATATCCCAAAAATTGGTCAATCCGTGTCATAGTCGAAACAAACTTACATATAAAGTTTCGTCAAAATCGGTTCAGCCGAACTTTATATACACGCGTTCACACACAGACCAACAGAGCAACAGACTGAGAGACCGACAGGTTGTTAAAAATATAGTTTATTTACACTTTCTTACCATGGCGAAGTGCGTTGCCACCAAAAACTCGATATGCAACAATTGTTTTAAGTTAATATACTTAGAAAAGTGTAAATTTGACTCTTAGTATAAATTCGCTTTGTGTAACCCGAATTTTCTGCAAAATTCACCTGTTAGTTTGGGTAACATTCAGAACTCAAATATAAAATTTCAAGAAATTACGTAGATATCGTGAAAAATATAAGATCGAACCCCAGTTCGGTGTCATGATCTTACCAAAAATTTATAGATTCATTGTTTTAATACCCCGAATATAAAGATAATATCAAGAAAATTGCTTTATAATTTCTTTTTATATACGCAAAAATGCAAAATTAGCCCGCAAAAACGTCCAGGTCACGATATATCACATATAAAATTTCATTAAAATTCGTTCGGCCGAAGTTGAGATACACGCGTTCACAAACAGGCCGACAGACCTACATCTCTCCAAAAGTTGTTTATTTACGCTTCCCTACTACGGAAAAGTGCGTTCCCTTTGAATACTAGACATTCAAAATTTAGTGCCATCATTGTGTACAATGCGGTCGGTAATGAAAGAGAACTATCCCAAAAACCATATCTTTTATCTATTTTATTATTTTCGATTCATTAATATTTCATGACGTTTTACCTCTCTCTTCATTATTAGGCATCACAAATATAAAAAACTCTTAATAAAATATGCAATTTTTTCTAATTAATGTGAAAACATTTTGAACAAAACTATTTTTGCTACAAAATATGTTGACATTCTTCAAATATCGTTTTTATATATAACGTTCAATATATATAGGATGTTTAGTATAAAATGGTAAATATTTGTAGGGATGAGTCTTTCTCAATTTTTAGCAAAAGACATATGGGTGTGGGGTGTAGTACTCGTTTTCGAGCTAAAATCTGTTTTTAAAAAAAAGTGCCAGATTTTTCCTGCCCATACATCAATAAGTGCTAATAACTTCGAAAGCATGCTTTATAGATTAACAATCTATAGCACTTGTTTAACAGACAATTGATTGCTTTTTATTTTATCTTACAATCAATTAGCTTTGAGTGGTAGTTTTTTGATTCAGAATTTTTAGTTTTTTTTTTCAAAAACTCGAAATTTTTCGAAGTCCTACAAGTTACAATGAGAGCTAAGAATCAACCCAAATAAAATCGCTTCTATCTCTCATAGTTCTTCCATATAGTGAACGTGTCCAATGTGTTGTAAAAACATGCAAAAAATACATTGGTCATACAGTTTTTGCTATAAATCGAGTAAAGAATCACTGCTGATATTTGCCACCTTTTGCGAAACACCATGTATACATTTTTTTAATAAACTATCGAATATCTTCATTTTCCATTTTCCCTATATAAAAATTATCAATTCTGCGCAATATTAAAAATCCTGAGAGAAATAATTCTATGTTCTTCAATATATTGAAGGCCGAATTAAGTAAGCACAAAGGAAGATAGACACTTAAAATATAATATTTTTTTGAGGTATAAAATAAAGTAAAATATATCGTAAAATAGATTATAAAAGAAAAAAGGTAATCAATAGAATCAATTCAGGGAAAATTTTCAACAAAATTATGTACATACGTTTTTTTTTATCTAAATGTCTCAAAAATGCTTGAGTAATTTTAAATTTATAGGACTGTTCTACTACTTGCTTCAATAGTTCTCTAAAATTCTTGAATATTTTCACTTTAATGTACTTAGTTTGGTGCAATAGGTATATAAATTACCTAGGTATGTAATAAAAGTGAATTATAAAATGAGGCAATATGTGCAAATTATGAAGTACCATTTGCGGTCCTATTTTCGAAAATTACTTTTATAATTTTTTTGTATAAAACAATTTTTGAATTTTCAACAGAAAACCTTTTTTACAAAGAAAGAATCTATAAAGGCGTAGGTATACTCGTGTTGTGTATGCATTTGTATGAAAAAAAATTTTTAGGAAAAATTAGTTTTACTACAAAAAGTTTTGTTCCCATTGAGTAAAAATATTTCACTGAGACTAAATTCATTAGGGTTGCATTGAAGATACTTCTAATTTCATTCTACAGTTTTTAAAAGATTATGAAATAAATCAAAAATGTTGCGTGTCCCTCCAACCTTAAAAGGCATGAACACTTCGCTGCATGTGTGTAGGTGCTAACAAAGTTGTAGAGAGTGGACCTGTAGACCTATACATTTTTGATAAAAGAACATTTGATATACCATTGAAAATGCGATTCACTTTATGATTTCAATTTTTTCTATAGAAATAAAAATTTATTTTGGTTCCTTGTCAAACGTACTTATGTATGTATGTACATATTCTATTAATTTAATATATGTATATATATAAAATGTCCATTCTATTATGCATACCTGTTCATTTATTTTTTTTATATAAAAAAGAAAAAGAAAAATGGAATCACTTCTCCTTTCAATTTAAAAACGGATATGACACATGAGTGCTGTTACCTACCGTTAAATAAAATATGGAAGTGTGAGTAAAATCACATAATGTTCGTTAGAAAAAAAAGAGAAATGAATAAAAAAACAAGAAATTGCAATAAAAATTCATTTCAAATGAGTACACATCACAAAAGTTCATACAAAATGAGCACCTAACAACCTAAGAAAATAAAACGATATGAGAATAAAAGGATTATTATTATTATTTCTTGTTAAAAATTAGCAAAGGACATGTGACTGAAAGATTAACGAATTCTAAGCATGTAGTTTAATAATTAAGATAAACAGTAAAAACACCTGTTTTCGATATTCGATTAGTTAAAAATTTTTTTGGTAAAATAACTTAGATACTTGATAATATTGAGTCTTTTTTGAAAAGTGACCCATCATCACCTTCGCTACAATGAAATATTGTTATCTTGCATCGTACTAAAATATGCGCAAATATGAGACTTATGAAACTTTGCTCTGCGTAATTGTGGTGGAAGTTTAACAAATGATTTTGTTAATGAATATCTTATGTAATTTTCAATACGGTAGATATTTTGTTGTTACTGAAAAACGCTTCGCGAGAGTACTGTGAATTACTTTTATTCGCAATCTTCAATTCTTTGTTGCTTCATAAATGATCTGTATGATAGCATAGCTTTATTAAAGCCAACAAGCGTAATATTTTGAAATTATTTTTCATAGCAAAATCAAATTTTCCTCTTACGTTTTTATATTCAAAACTTTTGTATTGTTATTGTTCCATTTGTTCACAAATATAGCATACCTTTCAGGTATATTTAATTTAAATTTATGGAAACATAATATACTTGCAATTATGTAGGAATTTATAATAATTTTATGTTTAAAATTTTAAGGATTTTATAAGGTTATAGTACAAAAAAAAAAAAACAATTGAAATTTTACAATATAAATAAATCACAAGAGTACTTGTTTGAATTGCCATTACAAATAAATGAAAATTCTTGACACAAATTGTAGTTTCAATGTTAACTTCGCATGTATACTCGTAGCATACATGT